TACTTACACCATTTTGATAAATTAATTCAAAATGTAATTGTTACTATTTCGATATAACATCATTTAATGAATTTAACAATTTTAAGATAAAACAAGTCATATAAATATAACAACTTTAAATATTACTTTCTATTGTACAGTTTTATTTCCATTTAGTTCCTTTTTTGGATACTAGTTGTTTAATTTATTTTTAAATCTAAATAATAACCATAATTGTGTATGTACTCGCACCTAGTATTAAAATTAACATTAAAGTTTACACCAAAGCAAGTCTAACAAATCGGTAATAAATAGGTCAGAAAGACAACAAAAAACATAAGCATGTTTAGTTATATCTACGTACATAGTAACCCTTGTCAATATTCTGCAAATATTATTCAGGGGTTGTTACACTAAATCTGTCCAATTTTCATGAATACACGACAGCCCTTGAGCAGATTATACGAATATCTAATATCTATCCCGAGGATTTTGATTGAATCTAGGAATTTCGGACTTTTATTAAAGTGCTATTTCCATTTTCTCAAGCTTTGTACTCTTTTATCGATAAAGGGAAGAATAAAGAAAAACTTTCTAGTAACCTATAACAACGAGAGAGAGGACATAATTTTTTGTTTTGAGAAATATATCCTTTCAATAATTAAATTATCAAAAAAAATGTAAAGCGACTTTGGCATTTATCGGATCCTTCGGTAAATAAAAATAAGTAATTTCAGTTTTTCAACCTACGGAAATATAATTTTAAATACTGTATTAAAAAATTGTAGAATAAAAAAAATATTTTTTTCTTCTATCTGTATTAATAAAATCTGTAAAAATTTAATTCAATCATTCCGAATCGTTACTTGCGTAACGACGACTCCTACGACAGTGTACGGTGCACGTGGATGAGTTATCTAACGGCCGTCCGAACAGGAGTGGCGGGCCCCGGCCCTGACGGCTAACTCGTGTCGTTCGTTGTTCTGGACGGTAAGAACCGCCCAGGCACGCGGGTGTCCAGTGTGGACGCGGTGTGGAGGAGTGTGCAGCGAGCTCATCTGCGGACTCGCTGTGTCCCAACCGTTGCCTTGTCAGTATTTGTGGCACTTGGTGAATGTGTAGTGTCTATGCGTAATGGGCCGGTGACATTTGTGTCGTCAGAATCTAGCGAAACCGGGGTTTCAATTAAAACATTGCGGGGCCTCCGGAGGTTTTGCTTAACGTTCGGAAATTGACAATCTCTGTACAAGTCCAAGTTTTGCTGGTACGACCAAGCTCCTTTGCGTAAAAAAACACGACGGTCAGAGAGCGTGGTTTAAATCTTCGTACTGTCATTATGAGATTTAATTGGGTGTTTAGGCGCACTGGAAAGACCAGATTGCATCAATTAATAGTATGTGCTCAATCGTGGCGTTGAGCTTGTCCTGTTCAGCTTCAGTTCAGTTGTGTAGTTCAGTTGATATTGCTGATGAAGCTGTAGAATAAAGAAAAGTTAGCGGTGAAGGAAGATGAGCATTGTGGGATAGGCATTGGTTTGGGGTCTTGGGAAGGCGGCAATGACCGTGGGGCGACAAGTGCCGGAGGCTTTACCAAGTAGGCTTCGCTTTTGAAAGCACGGGAGTGCTACCACCATGCGCGGAGACCCCGGCGACGGAGTCGGGCTTGGCAGGAGTTTGGGGCACCGAATAGAACACCGAAGATGGTGCGGGTTTGGGGGCAGGCAGACGAGAGCGCGACAAGCTGGGCTAATCCGCACGTCTGGAACGGCTTTTACTTCCGCGCTGTTTTGAAACATCTGCGATAGTTTGGTGGGTGTCCCTCTTCGCAGCAATTAACGCAGCTCGGATGCTCTGCCGTCTCATGCGTGCAGGTGATGTCAGCAGTGCCATGGTCACCTAGGCATTTGACGCATCTAGGCCTGGCGTAACAATTTCTGGCCGAGTCGCCGTACATGTAGCATCGTTGATATTGGCCAACGATGACTCTATTAAGGGGGGCTTCTACTGCAATCCCGGTTAGGTTGCAGATACGCTGCACATTGAAAATCTTCTTGCCTTCCGGAGACAGGTCCAGGATGACAAAGCAGACGTCGAAAACACGATTCTTGTCAGTCTGGTGGTGCATTCTGTGCACTTCACGGACCGGGATATTTTGGGGCCTTAAGGTCGTCTAAGATATGTATGGTGTTGAGTTCCTTAGGGTTCCTTAGTCCTCGAACGACCACACAAAGATTACGCTCCTCTGGTAGGGCGTAGGTGTGGAAACTAATTTGCAGGTAACTAGTCACGCTGCGGAATTCCTAGGTGAAGTATGTGTGTAAATGTGGCATACGGATTCCCTGACCGACGTTTTGCACCTTTGGGCAGTATATTTTTTGGTGTTTAACCAATTGGACAGATCATTCCGTTTTGTTTTGTCCTAAATGATGACGGGTGGCGGCGGCTTTTCTTTACGTTCAGCAGGGGAACCATTCTCTGTGGACTTAGCCGCAGGCTTGGGGTTTGAGCGCGCGCCGCGGGAGCTGGCTTTTAGCTGGAGTGGTGATGGGGGACATGGGGTCGAGTTAGTCTCGGCTGCTTTTTTGGTGTAGCGCGCTTGCGCTCTTTGCACTGGACGAGGGTGAAACCTTCGTCTTCGGGCTTGGGCGGGCCACACGTCTCGGGCTCCGGGCTGATTCGGTATCCGAATAGACCGGAGAAGAGCCGCGGGTTGACATCGCGGAGGGCGCTTGGAAAGCAGCGTCATTTACCGACGTAAACGAAACCGGTGAAACCAGGGCGGAGGGGAGGAGCGGTGGTTTTCCTCATGGCAGATCGGCATGTTTTTTCGTTGCATAAGGAACGCTACCCAAGTTTCGGGGAGGCATCACGCAGAAGAACGACGCCATCTTGTCCTATGCTAACTCAAGTTAACACAGATGTGTACCAAGCTTCCCCAACTTTCGGCGCGGGAGGCGTGTGTCTAAATAAACAACAGCGCGTTGGTACGCTAGAGTGTGTACCGAGTTTGTTGCCTAGTGCAACAAGCAACACAGAAATTGAAATAAAGATAGATGAGTGCCTCTGAGGCAACAGGTGTGTTACACCCTACTTACCGTTTGCCGAAAACCAGAAGGCCAGTAAGGAGAGTTACACAAAAACACTCTTTGCACCACAACAACCGTCTGACAGACTTCACGATGAGATTGCTGTCACCCGGAAGAGCGTACTTTGCGTACCACAATGTGAGCACTAATACTGTCAACAAACGCAGAGTACCAAGCAGCAAGCTAGGTATGATTTCTCTTTTTTTTAAATAAATCGCGCACATGAGCTAGTAGAGTGGAGTGACGGGAGTCACCTCAACCGACACGTCCGGAGTCTACAGAGCTCACGGCAATAATATATAATAAATAATCAACCGCCACATACCAGGTGCTAATTATAGCGCGCAACAATAATATGCAAAGAAATTCAACATCTCTTCGCGGCGCAAGTGAGTCAAACCGATCTAAAACAATTCAGTCGTCGACGATTCGAACCGCTCTCTGCTGAATCAAGTGGAACAAGCTGGCACTGGTGTGCCCCGGCCCTGAGATCTACTATATTTGACTGATACTATTTAAAAACTTTGTAACAATTATTTTAATATAAATAATTAATAGTATCAGGTTCTATCACTTTGCAGAAATCCATTATATTAAAGATGTTAAAATATAGATAATAATTAGCTATAATCCGCGTAAAAACTAAAAACTAAAAATCATGTGTCCCGTGCCCAGCAGTAGACTATTACAGGCTACCAAAGAAAACTAAGGAAAAAATTCTTCACTTAGAGTAACGGTAGTACTCTGTTACTACTGTTACTCTAAGATTCTTCACATAATGTTAAACGTGACTAAGCTCTGAAAATCTTTTTATTTAACTTTATTTCAGTCGCATACAACAAAACACCATATTGATTGATCGTATTTGTAACAATGACTTCGTATTTGGGTCAAGCTTCTTAAAAAAGTGAAGTAGAATCGAAAACACGTGACCTAAAATAATAATGGTAACATTTGAATAAAAAAGCTGTAAATATATGTTACGCGTCTCTGAAACAAAGTGTTTAAATATGTTTATAAATCAATAAAATATTATATTGTTATATTGCATAAAAGTGTGATTATGTGCATTTTGTTATTTGATGCACCTACAAATATGCGTTTACAGATATGCGTTTACTGGCAGAGAATGCCGACTATTAAGTTTTTTATATAAGAAAATAAAGAGTAAACTTGTATACATAAATTAATAGTGTTGAAAAAATAATATTTGGTTTAACTTAGTATTTCAGTTAGGTTTTATGGCAATTGAAGTTTTGTGCTTATAAATGTTGAAACAGAACTTTGTTATCAGTAGAAATTAGAACAAAACACACAATATTTCAAAAACTTCTTATTAACAACCCCTGGATAATTTTTATGAGTTTGTAGTATATATCTATGTATTTGTGTGTATGTCTGTGGCATCATAGCTCCTGAACGGATTAACCGATTTTGAATAAGTTTTTTCCTTTGAAAGGGTATTTCGAGAATCTAGATTTTTGTTAACTATGTATTACAGATTTTCTTAATGTTTCAAGCATAGTGCTTGAAACATTTAGAAAATCTGTTCACTCGTTTGAGGATTATCAGCTTTTTTATTTAGGGTTTTTTTAATTATAAATTAAAGTTGTATCTTCATACAAACGCAATCTGCGTTCCGTAGCCTTATAATTAAAATTAGTTACGAGTATATTCATTATATATTTACTTGTATAACTGATATAGGTACGTATATATATATATATATATATATATATATATATATATATATATATATATATATATATATATATATATTGGTGGAGCCACGTGTTTAAGGCTGCCGAAGTCTAGTTCCCCGGTCGAACCTTAAACCTATTACGCGAGATATTAATCTAAGTGGACTGTATCTACTAATGCTTCTACACTTATATATGCGGTACAATGCACTCGCTCTTCCCAAAAAAACGAACTATTATTTGCCTTTTCCTCTCGTTGTATTGACCACAGTCGTGTTATTTTCTATTTTGGATACATTTTTCGAAATGAAAACCGGCGCGGCTCCAGAAACCAATGATGTTTTTGAATTATCATTTAATGATATGGTTGCTATGACTACTCCATGCGTAGATGTTGAAACTGGTGATAAAGTTGTTGTTGGTATTGAAATGGTAAGAATATTTTCATTTTTTGTCACCATCGGCAAATTTGTAGTTGTTGTCGTTGGTCTTCGCCTTCTTAAAATATTCCTCGGTTTTGCTGTGCTTACATAAGACGAATTATCATAATTTTTCTGAGGGTTGAAGCTCGCTAATTGTTCAGGCAACTTCGCCGTCGTTGTTGCTTGCGTGTCTGGAATTTTTGTAGTAAATTCACTAATAATTAACGGATTAGGCTTTAGGGTAACAGCTGGGAGAGTTTGAACGGGATTTGGATTGAAGCTACTCTCAGTCGTTGTAGTTCGTATCCTAATTCTATGTCTGTATGGTCTAGCTGTCGTAGGTGGAATAGTAGAAGTTTTATTATCATTTATTAACAACTCTTTTGGTAAGGTGGCATTAATATTATCATTTACAATGTCAACAATTGTATCATTTTCCGATCCTTTCATATTGTCAGTTTTATTTTGTCCTTTCATTGACGATGTTATAGACACAGATGTAACAACTGCTGTGTAGACAGACGTAGAAGCCTTTTCTGTAGTAGAGTTTAATGTTGTCGCTGTTACACTTTCAGTGCTTGATGCAGATACTTTTGCAGGACGCCTCCTTAAATTAAAGTAGCTTCTAGGAAAGCTTTTTGGTGCTGAATTAGTAGCCGTTCTATTAGACGAAGCATCTTTTGTAATATTCACATTATGTTTTACAGTTTCCTTGAGCGTATTATTGTAAATAGTCATATTTCCAAAAGAACTGGGAGTCACGTTTTGCAATACTGGTTCAGTGACGTATAACTCTGCTATATTAGGTGATTTGGGTGTTGTTTGTGTAGTACTGGAGTATTTTCTATACGCATTAACTAAGCCAACAGGTCGAGCTGGTGCGGGGCCTTTAACAGTATTTCTAATCTTATTTTTTTCTATAACATTTTTGACCACTGACACGTCCATATCTTCATTAATTTCGTCTTCACCCGCATTTGTATTCTTATATTTTTCAGTTGCTGAATATCTTGAATTAAACTTTCGCTTCTCAGGAGGTGCAACTATAAAATTAACTGATTTAGTTGATGCTGAGAAAGATGGAGAATTCGTCAGGTTATCGCTAATGATTGGACCACCCAATTTCTGTCCAAAGAATATAAAAGGAGCCATTTCATCATCTGGTAATTCTGTTTCAAGGGGTCTAAAATGATTATAAATTTCATCTGACATAAATAAAGTTTGATTTCCTTTATCACTTTCATTTTTAATATTAATATTACTTTGGATTTCTGTGCTATTAGCAATTGTGTTTGTTTCTGGCTTTTCATCTTTAAAGTATACGTTTGCATCAAGTGTAACATTACTAATTAGTACTGCCTGTGTAGTGAGCACACTAAAAGGTGTAGTATTATCTTTTTATTTAACATCATTAGACGTCTTTATTTCACTTACAGTAAGTAGGTTCTGTGTCACATTTTCTGTGTCTGAATAGTTAAGCAGGTACAAGCCATGATTTGATTCATCTACCTGAAATTCTTCATCAGGATCTAAATCAACTTCTTTTTCTGAACCCTCTAATTTATCTGGTGGAACATAAACTACACCACTTTCTGTCGTTGAAATAGTAATAATAACTGTTTTATTGATATTAAATAAATCTCTTCTCCTATTGTTTATGAATCCAGCCCTATTTTTATTTTCCTGATATATTCTCGGGATAAATAAATGCCAAATCTCGTGTGGTTTAACATCTTGTCGTATTTCCTTCGCGCCGTCAGAAGCTACTAATTTTAATGTTGGGGATAACTCATTACTTGAATTGTCAAATGTTATCCGCTTTACAATGGAACTGTTTGAATCACGAATTTCAAGCTGTGCAAATGTAGTGTTTCCTTTGTGTGGTTTATGTGCTAACGTAGCTAAAGTATTGATATGTGTTGTCAACCTTCCACTTAGCAGCTGTCGCCGTCTGGCGGCGAGCAGAGACAACAGTTGTGAGTCCCTTGTTGTGTTAGCACTACTTTGCGTTGTCGTTTTTCTTGCGCTGCCGGGAAGAAGCCACGCGTCGGTCGCGCGTGTCTTATATATCCTCGGTTCCGAAGATTACGTGATGTTCTAGAATCATCTTCTTTCCCCTCCCACCCCACCACCCCGATGTGTCGATAGGAGGGTAGGAATGATATCGTTTTGTAAAGGGATAACCGATTTGGCAGCCTACCGTCAAATAAAATAAATACGAATGGTTTTCCGCGCAACCATATTTCATATATATATATATATATATATATATATATATATATATATATATATATATATATATATATATATATATATATATATATATTTTTATAGAGGTTATTACGTTATCAAGGTTCTACTTATATTATGATTACCCCAAGTAGTTTTAATTAATTGGTTGTTTATTTGGATTGCAGTGGATATATATTTTGAGCAACAATGAAGATACTGGACCAATCAGAAATCATTTCCAAAACCAAATTAATAACACACATAAATATGTTGACTATATTAACTTAAATTCGGCTTTAATATTATAAAAAATTCGGCAGAAAGACATGGAACAGTCAACATCCGAAGTCTTTTGAAATGTTCACGAGATGATTCTTGTTGTTTTGTCCGGACCATGGCTCAGATTTTTTTTGCAGAACAAGGCTTAATATACATTATATTTAAAGTTCCCTCACCAGAATAAAACATTGTAACGTAATCTTGACTCTATCAATGGGTAATAAATCAATTTTAAATGTTCAAGGTCAGCCTCATCACGTAAGCTTCCCAGTTGTGCTTGTTATGTACAAGCTGAGCTTAATTTACTCTCAATCTCCTCTTATTTATGTTTACACTTTAGGTCACTGTCTCCCCTCACACCTAACAATTTGGCCACTTCTACAGATTGTACTATTTTAACATCTAGTGTGACATTCAAGGTGTTGTTGCTTCTGACGTTATTGTGGAATTACGTTAATCGTTTTGGACTTCGTCACAATTTTAGACATACTTTCGTTCACCGTTTTATTTCTACGAACATTTTTCTGTGTTTTAAATAGGTTTGAAAAAGCTTCAATGCCTGTCTTCGAACCTCATAATAATGCAATTTTTCCAAAAGAAGATTTTGAGTGATGGTATTGAATGCATCTCATCATATTGTATATAATATATATAATAGCACAGAATAAATAATAGTACTACGTACAGAAGTTACAGTCCTTTTATATTGACCGCTTGCCGATGTTTAATAGCCTACATAATTATTATTAATTAGATAAATCGCGCATGCAAGCTAAATAAAACTTTATCGGTGCGCGCTAGTGTCCATATTACTTTGCATTTTTTCTGCTTCCTAAGTCACGGCGTAGTAGAAGTAAAAAAATACATTGCGAAATGTTAATTAAGTTACTTAGATGAAGTACGTATTCTGACTATGATCGACCAACCATATTTTCGCACCTATGTGAGTTCTGCGATGCCCACCGCATGCAACTTGCAAGGCTATTCGTCGGGAATCGCTGTGCTTGGCTCGAAAGAAATAGGTAGATAGTGTAAACAATAAATAAACCTGTAATACGATATACGATAACAGAAATGTGATCGTATTTTACTTACTTAAAAATCTTGTAAGTAAACAAAGTTTTAATTGCAGTATTTTGTGTTATTATAACTTCAAATACTTAAATTACAAAAGACAATTATAGGTATGTAAGTAAATACTAGGATAGTGAAGTAAATTTCTTATAATAATATTCTATACTAATATTCTATATTATTATATACTAATATTCTCTGCTTAGCCTGGAGGTAAACTGATAGAGAATGCCCTGTTGCATTAAGTCCGCCTTTTTGTACTTGGTGTGCAAATATAGTATAAACAAAAAATTATTACTTAATTCTATTTTGCTATAAGTACCTATCTAAAAAATATGATATAAATTCACCTTTCATAACTTCCAACTAAAATCCATCGGTAACTTACAAAATGATATATCTGAAACATTTTGTTGGTCATTTAGCATCCATCCACGCAACAATAATTATGGAAGGAACGACGTTTCGCTATTATAATCTATCAAATAGTTAATACACATAATATATACATAAAAATAGTTGAAAAAGTTTTAATGTAATTTTTGAATTACATTAAAACTTTTTCAACTATTTTTTCCCACAATTATTTAATTACATTTAAATATACTAAACACTAAACAAAAACTATTTCAACAAGCGTTTTTAAAAAAAAGCTATTTACGTAAACAGGGTTAAAAACCTTTAACATTCAATCGCCTGAAACGCGCTTGCAACGACTGCGTATGAAACCCGGGGTGTTTCGCGATTGTAGGTAATTATTTCACGCAGGTAGTAAAAGCGACAGAGGCCCGGTAATACGAATATCGTCAAAACCGCAAGATTTCTTAGCCTCCATTTTTTGCGAGTTCAATTCATCCCGTGAATATCGTAAGAAGCGACAAAAATACTGAAACTGGAGATGGGCAGCAGCATGTTTCCTATAGAACCTTAATTTTTTTATAGGATAGGTTGACAAACGAGCACACAGTCCACCTGATGGTAAGTGGTTGCTGTGGTCTATAGACATCTACATCTATCCTCGATTACGAATCGAAATGCAGCTGCGTTGTCATCCGTGAGGACTTAGGTGGAACGCCCTGTTTCCAGTAAAAAGGCTCTCCGGTTCTCTACACTCACCATACGAAACACAGCATCATTACGCTACTATTCGACGCTGGTATTCTGTGAGAGCGTGGTCCTTCCCCGGTAGAGCCGACCCATTCGTGCTACAACTATAATAGTAATATAACTGCAGCATGGCTCTACCACGTAATAAAACCTTAAGTAAACAAAAGTAAAAAAAAGTTAAACCTTAGTAATACCTAATAAAACATGCGGTTGTCGACCCACACGCCAAGCGTGATGATATGAAGTCAATCTTTGGGGGAGGCTTACGTTTAGTAGTGTACTTTAGATAGTATGACGAATGATGATTTAAAATGTATTCAGATAAAGACAATTATAGACACAGATCTGCGGCACGTTGGCATTATTATCGGCTCCGCTAATATATATGCCGACTAAAGCTATGATATTATTCCAACTTTTACGGTTATTTCATATAACTTTATTGATAACATTCGTAATTGAACCTCATTCCCCTATATTCCAATGCAAAATTAAAATTGAGCTATTTATATATTTGTTACATCGTTAATGAAGAACAATAAAACAGAAGTGCGTATAAAAAAGAAATAAAATGTTTTGTGGTTATTACATACTACGTTTGCCATTTAGTCATGCTTTTATATTCGTCACATTTGTATATAAAGTACTCTGTGCGTATAAACTTGTAATGTAATTCGGTAAAATAATCTTTATTCATCCTATTCTCCGATCCATTAGGAAACTTTACAAACGAAAAAACGTAGTATTTTTAAAAAGTCCATAAACACCCTCGTAATTAATATGTAAAGATAGAATTGTGCCGTCTCTTTTTCAATAAAAAATTTAAGTATAGTATTACGGATTATTCAACCAAAATGGTGGTGATACTATGCCTACGAAATATTATATATCAAAATATTTTATATAAATATATATATATATATATATATATATATATATATATATATTATAGAACAGGGGTCAAACGAGCATACGGTTTACCTGATGTTAAGTGACTACCGCCGCCAACGAACATCCGCAATACCAGGGGAATTGCAGGTGCGTTGCCGGCCCTTTAGAAAGGAGTAAACTCTTTTCGTGAAGATCCCCAGGTTGTATCGGTCCGGAAAAATCGCCGGTGGAAAACTATTACACATAAAGGTCATACGCGGAAGAAAACTTCTTGTGAAACGTTCAGTGGTGGACCACCAAGCATCCAAATGGTGTGGATGGCATCAGGAGCTTTGCCGCGTAATGCGTTCATGAAATTTGGCGGCTGGGATTAATCTGAACAATTCCTCAGAGCACTCCCCGTGATAGATGCGATAAAATACGCAAAGAGATGCAACATCTTTTCGCAGTGCCAGTGAATCAAGCTGATCGGAGAGCACTCAGTCGTCGATGATTTGAGCCACTCTGCGCTGGATGCGGTCAAGTGGCAGCAGCTGGCACTGGGGAGCCCCAGCCAAGAGATGGAAACAGTATTCCATGTGCGGCCGAACCTGCGCCTTGTAAAGTTGCAGGCAGTGTGACGGCATGAAATACTGTCCCGCTCTGCTTAGCACGCCAATCTTTTTAGAGGCCAATTTGGCCTTCACTTCCAAGTGACCATGAAACTGCACGTCACTCGATATGTCAACGCCGAGGATTCCGATACTGGCTGAGGCAACATTAACTGGACTGGATTTAGTCGCCCCCAATCCGAGACTTTGTTCAGCAAAGACTCGACTTCAGACACAAGTTTGTCCCGGTACTTGGAGACGTTTTCCCGAGAAATATTGGCACGGCCGATATACGAAAATTCCACCACATATTAAGTAATACGAGGGTGGATTGAAAAGTACTCGGCCTAACCAAGAAAATAAACACATACTAAATCAGTTATATTTTGATTTTTCTACATAATTACCATCAAGTTCAATACACTTTTGCCACCTCCCTTCCAAGCATTTAGACCGTTGAAAAAAAATGATTCTTCCTTAGAGTCAAAATATGCGTCTACAGCTGCTTTGACCTCGTCGTTTGTCGAAAATCTTTGACCTCCCAAGTGCTTTTTTAGGTTAGGGAACAGAAAGAAGTCTGATGGTGCCAGATCAGGTGAATACGGCGGATGCGGTAACAGTTCAAAGCCACAGTTGTGAATTTCAGCCATTGACTGTACTGACGTGTGAACACGGGCGTTATCTTGATGAAACAGGACTATTCTTCTGAGCATTCCTCGACGTTTTTCTTTTATTTCCTCTCGTAAACGACGTAGTAAGGTGCAGTAGTAATCAGAGTTTATAGTCTGACCCCTTTCAAGATAATCAATCATAATCACACCTTTCGAGTCCCAGAATACTGAAGCCATCACCTTATTTGCCGACAAAATCGACTTAGCCTTTTTTAGGGGGTGGTGAACCAGGTCTTCTTCACTGTTTTGATTGTTGTTTTTTTCCGGTGTACAGTAATGAACCCATGTTTCGTCCATAGTAACAAAACGATTCAAAAAATCATCTGCATCGGCTTCAAATAACTCCAAACAGTCGCGTGAAATAAGTCAATCGCGTCCTTTTTTGTTCAACTGAAAGCAGTCACGGAACCCACCTCGCAGACACCTTGTGGAAACCCAACTCGTTGACAATGATGTTTTGAGTTCGTTCATAAGAGATGCCTATAATCTCGGCTATCTCTCTAATTTTTAATCTGCGGTCTCCCATTATTAAATCAAGTACTTTTTTTAATATTTTCGTCAGTAGTTGACGTCGAAGGCCTTCCAGAGCGGGGTTCATCTTTCACACTCTCTCTACCACGCTTAAATTCTGCTATCCATTTTTTGACGGATGAATATGACAGAGCACAATCGCCTAATGTACTGACCATGTCATCATGGATGGCTTTTGATGATAGCCCCTTCTTATGGAGGTACTTAATGACGGCACGCTGCTCGATTTGCTCCATTCGCGGAAATTATGTCCGATTACTTTGTTAATAAATTTATAAAATCACAACTAATTATCGCACACGTTTCGAACTTCATACAATGAACTAGTCTGAACTGAACTATATAATGTGGGTAGATTTGATTTTTAGAATTGAATGGATCTATGATAGGCCGAGTACTTTTCAATCCACCTAGGTACGATAAACGGAATGTAACAGTGAACTGTCAGTAAAACCCTGGATCAAACACCATTCATATTCATTTTTGCTTAGTCCGAAATGAGATGGCCAAAATGTGCCCCAAGCTGTACAAAAATTGTTATTAATTTAAATAAAATAAAAAAGGAATTTTGAATAACTATTAACATTTCATAGCAGCAGCTGTTGAAAAACAATCAAGTTTAAA